TGCTCAGCGCTGGCCGCGCGCCTGACACCTGGCGGCACGGGCCGCGTGCGCGGGGGCCGAGAGCAAGCGCCGTAAGTGTGGGTTATTACGTACGTTGTCATTTACATCCGTAATCTCCCTCGCAACAGCCACGAGGCGAGGCGCTATTACCCCATTTCACAGATAGGAGCGTGAGGACAGATGTTGCCCGCGGCACGCGCGAGCGGGCACCGGCCCAGGGCTGCCCTCGCCTGTCCTGCCAGGCTCCACCCCCGGGCCCGCACCCTGCGCCCCGGCATTTCCAGACCCCGCAGTGGCCGGCCGGCGTCCTTGGGCAGCCGGCCCGTGGAGGCTGGGCCCGGCCTGGCCCCGGTCTCCGGGGCCCCTCCATGCTGGCCGTGCGCCCCCGCGGGGTTCAGACCCTGCCCGCCTTCGGCTCCGCCCTGCCGTCCCCCGCAGGGCTCACAGGGACAGTGTGGGCTGGTAAGCATTGGCAAGTGGGAGCTGGTCCTTGCTTCCAGAAAATTCTCTGGGTGGACGCAAGACATGAGTCAGGGTAATCGTGCCGGGCTCTCCTGAGACCCCCGAGGCTTGCTGCGGTGACCGTGCTGTCCGGCGTCTGCTCTGGCTGACGAGGGGCCTGCCCGGCGCTTCCCGCGGCGTGGCCGTGGCCTGCTCTCCAGAACCGCCCGGGAACCCCCAAAACTGCAGGTTCTCCGCCCAGCCCCGGCAGCCCGGCGCTGGTGTCGGCGAGTTCACAGGCACGGAGTTGACATGGGGGCTGGAGCCGGCCTCCCACCAGCAGCTCTTTGGGGGGCGGGGGGCGGTGTATGTGGTTCATCGCGGCCTGCAAGCTGGGAGGGCAGCGTCCCTGCTGGCCGGTGCCGCTCGCGGCCGGGGAGGTGGCCGAGCTGCCGCTGGGAGGCTGCGAAGGGCGTGGGCTCTCGGGGCGGACCAGAGGCCAGCGCCTGTCCCTGCGGGCCGTCGGCGCACAGCACAAGGCCCTCGGTGGGGGCTGGTGCTGACCCTCCGTGGCCTGGCCTGCCAGTTCGGAGGGAGGCGACCCCCGCACGGCGCAGCGTCTCCGCCGGGAGTCGGGGCTCTGCGTCTGGCGCCCCAGCTCCCAGGGCTGGCCCAGTGACGCACCGGGCCCAGCGCCGCCCACCTGGTGAGGCCTCGGGACGGCGCCCCGCGAGCTGGCGGCTGTCACTGGGCACTCGCGGGGGCCGCCTGGCCCCCCGGCGTCAGTGGCCCGTCAGAGCCGAGCGGCTGTGCGCCTTTCCTGGCAGCCACGACAGGTGACCCCCGCCCTTTCTCTTGGCCACAGGATGAAGGGGGCCCTGACGGGGCGTGCGGGTCTGTCCCCCTGCCGGGCCTCGCTCTGCGCCCGAGGGCCCCTTTGCACCTCCTTGCCGCTCTGGAGCCCGCCTGGGGGTAGGTGGCGGCGGGTGCTGCGCTTCTGCTTGTCAGCTCTGCGCGCAGCTGTGACCCTGGGCCACCGTGACCCTGGGCCGCCGTGACCCTGGGCCGCCGTGACCCTGGGCCGCCGTGACCCTGGGCGCCGTGACCCTGCCTGGGCTGGGCAGGGCGGCCGCGGGCCTGTCTCACCAGCCCTCTGTCTCACCAGCCCTTCGAGCGGTTTACGTTTT